AGTAATGGACAGGAGCCTGATTTGGGACCTTCTGAAGTACCTGTACCTATTGCAGAGCCTTGTGCACATGCATGTGTGTGGGTTCCTGTGTGGAGGTCCCCTCTCTTTAATCTGCACCACTTTCCCTTTGCTTTCCTCTGGACAAAGAGAGCTGAATGGGAGACCTCCTTCAAAGCTGATCAGATCAGCTTGCAGGGTGTAGCTTTCCAAGAGATATGCAGTGCTTGTTTTTCCCCAACATGAGCTGAGCTTGCTGTTTCCACAGTGCTCTCAGCCCTTGTGCTCAGGACCACAAAAGCTCAGATCTTCCCTGTGGTCCCATAGCATACTTACCACAGAGCCACTGCCTGCCTAATCCATGAGCTTTTTGTACACTTGCTGCTGAGTCTTCTGTTCCTTCGCCCATTGTTTGTTTTTTCACCTTGAATAGGAGTAGAGAAGCAGTGGAGATGTGCAGTGATTTTGGAGCCCATAGCCATGAACCAGAGACACTTCCAGAGTCCAGTCAGCATCTTCCTGAAAGGCACCTTGACAGACTGGAATTTGGTGAAGGCTGACAGCTTCCTCACTGAGAGCTGGATACTGCAGAGCTCCCAGGAAGGACAATCCGAACAGGACACATTGTTTCAACAGCTTGTAAGAGGGCTAATTACTGAAGAACTACACATGGTAAATGTTCCTTCCTGTACTTAGCTGTCTAGAATTTGCCAAAAAATAGCAGACACTTGTATTACAGTGATGAGGGCTATCTTAGTAGTTTGATAAATATTATGATAGTCTGCTCCACAAACAAATTTTTTGTTCTAAATTTAGAAGCTTTTTAAAAAAATTCAGTCTCTAACCTAGTTGTGAGCTGCCCCTTCTGCCTTCCGAAGGCTCGGCTCCCTAGAGCTAAGATCAAAGTGTAGTATCTGTTCTTATCAGTTTAATGTCTGTGTATTTCTAGATAACCTAGATGTCTTTTCCCTTCATACAGATTGCTGAAGTGTCTCCATCTGAAGTTTGGTGCCCCTGCACTGGAATTTTATCCCCTGTCTCTGACACCGTTGCAGTCCTTACCCTATTCTGCACTGAAAAGGCTGCTGAAGTTCAGAGATGTCTCCTCCAAGGAGCTGTGACCGAGAGTTCTTCCCAGGACTATGCCTTTCATCTTCCAGAAGTTGTGAGCAGTGTGTTGAGTCAAGTTGATACTTCAATCAGAGATGATCTAGCTAGTTCTGGTAAGTGTGTAGAATGCAAAATGAATCTCCTTTTCATAGTCCCTAGGTCTGAATTCTTAGAGATTGAAAATTGGTGTTCCTAGTGGAGTGTCTCTGGGCGGTGGGGCTTGCTCCCGCTGATTATCTGCCACGGTCCAAGTTTGCTGGACCCAGGCTACTGTGGTGGTGAGTGTTGTTGACTGAGCATTTGCTTTATTACGCTTATTGGTAAGGCTCGGTGACATGTGCCAGGTAGTAGAAGGCTTTGGGAGTGCTGAGGCCACTTGAAATTTCCTTAGTTTCATTCTAACGTTTGCCTTTCTGTCCAGAAGAGACTTCAGTTCCAGAATGGGTCCAGCAAGAACTGTCCTGCACAGATGGCTGGAATCCTGCAGTAGTTGAAGGGTGGTACTCTCTATCGAACATCTGCGGAGCAAGTTCAGATTTAATGGAGTCATTCAGGTAATTCTCTTTCACCTATCCCTGTATATCATTTGGACATTGTTACTTTAGTCCAGGAAATGTCACTTACATTTCTCTAACTAGTCTCTAAAACTCTACATAATTATCTAATACTTGCAATGCTTGTTAAATAGATAGATGTTACTGTACCGGCTTTACAGAGGGGTAAGAACCAGGGCTAGAATCCAGGAATCCTGACTAGACCAGCAGTTCTCAAACTGGGTTGGGAACCCATTTTAATGGGGTCATCAGGGCTGGTTTAGACTTGCTGGGGCCTGAAGCTGAAACTGAATGAAGCCTGAGTCCCACCGCCCAAGGCCAAGGCTGAAGCCTGAGGCCTTCAGCGCTAGGTGGTGGGACTCAGATTACAGGACCCCTGCCTGGGACTGAAGCGCTTTGGCTTTGCCCTGCCCATGCCCAAGATAGCAGGGCTCTGGCAGGCTCAGACTTCAGTTCCCCATCCTGGGGTGACGTCGTAATTTTTGTTGTCAGAGAGGAGTCACGGTTTAATGAAGTTTGAGAACCCCTGAACTAGACCTATGTCCTTTGATGCTGTGATGATCGGTATTTCTAGGACACCAAAATGAGACAGAGATACCGCAGACTTCACCCCTTAAGATTTAGTAAAATCCAGGGCAATACAGTTAAGTCAATTGGCTCATTAAGAAGGAACTTTGTTCCTATTTATGCTTACTGCTGCCCTGTGAATGCTGACTGACTATAATGAAATCATCCTAAAAGGGCTTGCTGTGTGAAATATGCAAAAATACTTATTGAGGGTCGGGATATGATTAGATTATCTGAAACTGTGTTCTTGGCATTGGTCAGTGACATGTCTGCTTTATGAGAGGAATTCTTATTTTTTTCTGAGCATCACTGCCTTAGCATAAACTAAAAATGTTTTCCTTTTTCTCTGTGCCAGCACACACACTCTAGGTTTTGAGAGCAAGGGGTTTGGAGAAAGTGGGGGTTCTCTAGTAGGTACTGTGCAGGGGATCAGGCTGAACTTTCCTGAGATGAGGGTGGGTGGGCAACCTGCAGTGGGAGTAAGGAATTCCTCTCGTTCCCTGCTTCTGCTGACATCTGTTTTTAATTGCTTTGACTTCTGTACAGGTTGCTGCAGGCTGTTTCTGCTACTGAGAAGGAAGAGGCCTCCCAGCCTGAAATGGAGCTGACACACTGTCTGTCTGAGTTCTACCAGAGAAAATCTAGTGAAGCATCTGCCACAGCTGAGCCAAGGGACCACAAAAAAAGACGTATGTCTAGACTAGGATTGCGTGAGTGCTGAGCATTTCCCATCATCCTATGGTCTTCTACAATTTGCAGCAACATTCTTGGTAACATGAAATTTGAACACCTGACCTTCCCTGAGCAAAGGCACAGTTCTGAGCTGCCTCAGATGGTGGCAGTGTAGCGTGTTTATTAAAGGGCAATATTATTTATGCATAAAATGAACCCTGCGCCCCAGTTGGAGCCAAGCGAAGCTGTACGGATATTGGCAAAACCATTTTCAATAACCATGCAATATGCAGATCTTTGCACTTTAGTTGCCTATTGCTTTCTGGACTTCTCATCTATATGCCCACAACTACCATGACCTCACATCTTCTCCATTTTGTTCTAATTTTAAAAAATTAAGAAAACATTTTAACCAACTTTCTTCTCACAATATTTAAGCATTAGACATTTCAGTATAATAATTCAGGGATACTTTATGAATCTCTTGGGCTGCTAATCCCCTACCTTTTCAGGGGAAGTTTACCTAGCTGGGATATAGTGGTGGAGTTATATAAATAAGAAACAGCCTCATATTACAGAAATTGAATTCTTTCTGACATAGGGAAGGATGCTTTAGTCTCTAATGCAGAACTACGGTTTTTACCCAGTTAAGCAGCTCCACTCTGGGAGCATCTGAATCATATAATCCCTGTATAGCTATTTCTCAGTGACATTTCAGTTAATATGCAGATTTCCATGCTCTGTATTATAAACCCTCTGCTCTAATTAGACTCTGTACGCAGGATTTTCAAGCTGCTTGCCTGCAACAAATATACCGCTTAATCATCATTCTCTCTTCAGTGAAGCAGAAAATCCCTAAAATGTACATTAAAAATTAAGAGAAAATGCCCAAAAAGCATTGAAAAATGGGGTTTGCTTTTTAAAATTAAAAAACTGTATCTCACTGTTTACAAGTCAGTCGGGCGCTTGTCCCCACCATAACTCCTATACACCGCTACCTCGGTATAACGCGATCCGATATAACACGAATTCGGATACAACACAGTAAAGCAGTGCTCCGGGGGTGGGGCTGTGCACTCTGGTGGATCAAAGCAAGTTCAATATAACGCGGTTTTACCTATAACGCAGTAAGATTTTTTTGGCTCCTGAGGACAGTGTTATATCGACGTAGAGGTGTATATGGATTTATATTGTCCATCCGTCACTGTTGGTAAACAAAAATGTATTGAAATTATTCAGAAGACATGAGCCTGACTCTTAAGGAGAGGGAGGCAGGAATGACAGAACCTTTAAAGAATTTTTAATTTTTTTAAGCCATTTTCCCCTCTCAATTTGAGAGCTCATTTTGAAACAAGACTGGAGAAGCCTTTTGTTAAGCTGGTAAAATTTATGTTCTGAGCTAGAAACAGTTTAGCTTACAGCCTGGTTTTTAGTCCAGGATACAGCTGTTGTCTTGAAAACAGGAAGCTGAGCTTTCTCTAACGTTTCCCCCACCCCCCCCCCTTCGTGTAACATGATACTCTCATCCTTACTCTAAGATGAAGCTACTTACCCTTGGCTCCTTTTTGAATCACTAGTGGGGTTGCCCCTCTAGTACCATTTCTCTTGCAGAAAGCACTGAGCACAGTCCAAAGGCCAGGTGCCCGGAATAATTGTTTGAGAGCAGTGTACCTATACGTTACGATTACGTTGGGTATGTGTATTGCATACGTTCCAAGATCATAATGTGGCAAGCTAACTGAAAACAGTTAGCAGTCTCTGTTCCTTCCTAGGTGAACTGGAGATCCACTCTTCAAAAAGGAGGCTGAGCCTAGTGAAACAGGCAGAACCATCTGCCTGAGTCTTTCCCTCACATTCTGAATTCTTATTGCCCCATCACTGTGCTGAAGGAAGCTAACGTTGCTGTACTGAAATTTACATTTTAAACAGCCAAAAATGTATTTTAACAATGCAGCATCTGGCCTAGCTTGTGGTGCCAGTGTTCTGCTGGATGGTGTCTTGTCTGAATTCCAACTCCTCTGTGCCAGATGAGAATTTAACCTTTTGTGATCCTGCAGGGGGGGTTCCCCGGACTCCCGTCAGGCAGAAGATGAAGACCATGTCCCGCTCCCTGCAGATGTTGAATGTAGCAAGGCTGAATGTAAAGGCTCAAAAGTTTCAGCCAGATGGAGTGCCACCAGCAGCTGGTGAGAAGGTACCCCAGAAGCTGTTACGGAGATCAGATGATAAGCTGGAAGAAAATCGAAGAGTGCTGAAAATCTCCATAGGTACATGTCAGACAGGTTTATCAGCTCTGGTGTTTGTGACGGAGCAGAGCAATTCGGTAAAGTGCACAGCTAGGCAGCAGATTCAGGTTTGGGGCACTCTCTTGAGATTCCATCTCTTCACACCAGTGGGGGTGAAGCTCTTTCCCTCTTGAGGTTTGCTTTGTAGACCTTTATACTGATCTATTGGACTGCATAGTTGTAGCATAGGATGTGGTTAGTTACTCCTCCAATTGCAAAATAATTGAAAACAATGTGAGACTGCATATGGGAGGAAATAAAGATGTCCAAGCATCTAGGTGTAGGTGGAAATATACCCATATTCCTTAGTTATGCCCATGATATGTGAGGCTTTCTTGTCTTAAGCTTTATTCTAAGGCAAAGAAAGGCCCTGTGACGCTACCTCTGGTGTTGATCTATTCCTGTCCTCCCTCTTGGGATTTTGAGGAGGGATGTGACTGGGTGGCACTGAGGCTAAAGCCCCAGGAGCCCAGGCAGGATTTCATTTGAATCTGATGTGTTGGCTTTTGTTTTCATAATTTGGAAGTGAAGGCTGTGCCAGCTATAGTACTATAGCTTTTTACTGCTATTATGTATAGCAGAGGTGGGCAAACTACAGCCCGCGGGATGCTCCTGGCCCGGGAGGCTAGCCCCCGGCCCCTCCCCCACTGTTCCAGCGCAGTAAGGGGGCGGGGAGCGGGGGGGTTCGGGGTGGTGGTCAGGGGGCGGGGTGGTCAGAGGGCGGGGAATGGGTTGAAGTGGGGGGCAGGGGTCCCAGGGGCCGTCAGGAAGGAGGGGGAGTTGGATTGGGGGCGGGGGGCAGTCAGGGGCAGGGGTTCTGGGGGCTGTTGGGACAGGGTGTGTGTGGATGGGGCAGGAGTCTGGGGGGGCTGTCAGAGGGTGAGAAGCAGGGGGGCTTGAATAGGGGGCGGGGCCGGGTCATACCTTGCTGTTTGGGGAGGCACAGGCTCCCCTAACCTGCCCTCCATACAATTTCCGAAACCCGATGTGGCTTTCGGGCCAAAAAGTTTGCCCGCCCCGATGTATAGTAATAGTCCTGTGCACATGTGGGGAGGCTAGCATAGCGCCTGCCACTCCAGACAGTAGGTCTTTCAGGGCCTTGCTGCCCCCAGGGCTTGGTGTCTGTCACTGGCATATTAGAGGTAGTCTGGAAGCCTGTTTTGGTCTGAGAAGGACTAAGAGCTTTATCGGTTCACCTGCCTTGGGCCTTAGTTGAGGATTCCTGAGGGACTTCTTTTGTAAATCTTCTGTTGGCCTGGCCATCATGTTGCAAGAGAACTGCTGTTACAACCCCACTCTGTTACGTAGGCCTGGTTATTGGAGAGGACAGCTATATCTGCCCATTCGTTACCTCTTGCTTACAGTTAGTTTGCTCTGCTTAACTTGCAGATTTCAAAACTGAGGAGGAGATGCTTTCCCATTTAACTGCCAATTACCAAGAGGCTGTGGTTAATGGAGAATTTCTGATGTTTGTGTGTGCACGGAATATGGTCACAGCCATTCAAAGCTTTCTGAAACTAAAAGATGCCAAAGAAAGAGAGGTAGGCAAATCTGTCGACAAATGCATATGCTGAGGCTGTGCTTTCAGTGAACAGGGCTCTCCAGTTACTTCTACATGTGGATAAAGATCTATGTCTCCAGGCTCTTAAACTCTAGAAATGTGAGTGTTTGGTTAAAATTACATGCCGGGATCACTGCTGAAGTACGAGATTAAAGAAAACTCACTAAATTCTAGAACGGGGTCGGCAACCTTTCAGAAGTGGTGTGCCGAGTCTTCATTTATTCACTCTCATTTAAAGTTTTGTGTGCCAGTAATACATTTTAACGTTTTTAGGTCTCTTTCTATAAGTCTATAATATATAACTAAACTATTGTTGTATGTAAAGTAAATAAGGTTTTAAAAATGTTTAAGAAGCTTAATTTAAAATTAAATTAAAATGCAGAAGCCCCTGGACCAGTGGCCAGGATCCGGGCAGTGTGAGTGCCACTGAAAATCAGCTCGCGTGCCGCCTTTGGCATGGCTGCCATAGGTTGTCTATCCCTGTTCTAGAATTATTTCAGAGTGTGTGTGTGTGTGTGTGTGTGTGTGTAAATGAGCCAGTTCACGCACGCACACACAAAAACCTGAGCTCTTCTGCCTGAACTGGCTCATTTATACAAGAATCAGACAGTTATAAGAAATGTACAGGGGAGTCGCATCTTACGCGGGGGTTAGGTTCTAAAGGCAGCACATAAGGCAAAAATTGCGTATAGTCAAACGCTCATTGAGTGTAATGGCGGGCGAAATCGCCTGCACTACAGGTACAGTATTTAAATTATTTTTCTCTTTTTTGTTTTTTGTTTTGCCGAGCGTGTATAGTTAAAATCGCGTAAGTTAAATGCGCCTATGATGCGACTCCACTGTACTGCCATGGAGTTCTCTGGAAAATTGTTTGTAAACTAAAAACTGATTTGGTACTGTTTCAAAAGAACATGTATTTAAGTTCATATCTGGAGAGTTGTGGGTTCATAAGGTTATTTAGAAACAAAAATTGGTCAGTTCACAAATAATTGAAGGGGGGGAATACTGTGTGGCAGATACAAAATTCCAAAGTTCTTTTGAGGGTCCTCCAGTCAAAACCAGATCTATGTCTGCATACTTTCCTGCCTCCTAATGCTTACATTAGCTACATTTTAGTACAGATAAGCCCACATGTGTGGATGAACTGCAATAATATTGAATTGGTTTCCTTTCAGACACACCAGATTATTCATAGACATTAGAGATGGAAAAGGTCTATCGTGTCACATTTAGTTCTTCCTCTGCCAGAGGCCAGTGCAGGATTGTTTGCCACAAGTGGTTTGGGTTTTTTTTTTTTAATCTCTTCCCACTAAAATGTCTGCCACTTCTGTTGGGAATTATTCTGTCTGCTGTTCTCAGCCCGTGGCCCAATCAGCACATAGCTGTGGCCCATGTGACTTCCTCAGGGCTATACAGGTTGTGTATATATTTTGCGGCTGAGGCCCACATAACAGAGAGAGAGCTGCATATGTGGCCCACAATGGTAAATAGGATGAGAACCACTGGTCTAACTGATCTGAGTCTCAGGCAGGTTTTCCTGGTAGTCTAAATTTTCCTTGCTTATTTTCATCCCATTACTCCTTATTGTACATTCTTGTACTACTTTACTAGCTTCAAGACCTGGATTTTTTTATTGAGTTGTTTTCCATAGTACTGAACAAGTTAGAATGAGAACTTGCTGCATGATGAGAGAGAAAGTACCTTGGAGCCCCTGTGCTATGTTTCTGTGTATTTGCAGGTGGCCTGTCTGGACGGAGTCCGAAGTCATCTCCTGAAGACCAGCAAAACCCTCCGACAACAGTATGATGTCAATCCTGACAAGGAAACCAAAGTCAGAGAGTAAGAGGCACAATATTCTATTTACTGCAACTTAAAAACCACTGCCGTTTTGATTAGCTATTTTAGAGGTCATTTTACAGTACAACTAGAGATGTATTTCTATGGGCAAATCTTCTGGGATAATTTCTGTATCAAAGTGAGTGAATATCCACTGCAGTGAAAGTTTTACTACAGCAAGATACTACAGTGTTTGAGAGCATGTCACTCCTTTCAAGGAAAACTAACCAAATGAATTTTGTATTAATAACCTCCCTCTTCCCCCCGCAACTTTGAAAGGTCTAGTCAGTGAGCAGTAACTTGAATGTGACTGTTTGACTAGAAAGAGGGTAATAATTACTTACTGTTTCTGTGTAGGTGTCAGCTTCAGGTATTTCTGCGCCTTGAGATGTGTCTGCAGTGTCCCTCGCTACAGAGCAGCACAGATGAAATGGAGCAACTGGTGGAGGAGGCAAGTAAATAGGGCTGGGCTGGGCTTCTAGATGGGAATGGAAATGTTGACCTGGATCACGTAGCTTTCCCAGCCCAATTTTCTTTGCTCACACCATAAGGCTGGTCTTGGAGTGTTTGATCTGTGACACTTCTCCCCATCTGATCTTCTCTTACAGATGACCGATATGCTGCGCATTTTGTCTCTCACTGAAGACCCAGGGTATCTTACAAAGTTTCTTGAGGAAGTCTTAGTATCGTAAGTGCTTTATGGTGATGATTAAATATTAAATGTTATCCCTGAAATATAGGCTTGGTTAGGTACCTGTCATAGGTAAATGGCAAACTTTTGAGCACGGATTTCAGGTAGCTTTGTAAAACTGTCATGAAAATGTACTAGCTCAGATGCAATCCACTTGCCATACTTTACCCTGATTGTTAAAGAAAAGACACGTGATATTTTACTTGCCCATCAAAAACGGCTACTTGCCTAGGACGAGTAGAATTTTAAGTCATGGTAAAGGCACAGGTACAAAAGTTGGAAGTGAAATCTCACAGGGATGGATTTTGTGGCTTTTGCTAACTATTGTGTGTTTGACATGTATTTAGGCTTGGAAGGGTTAGATTTTTTTTTTTCCCCAGTAAATGCTGATTTCACCATAGGCACACAAATTGATGAGAAATATTTACATGGATGCTAACTGAAATTTACAGATAGACAAAGCAATAAACAGGCTGCTTGAGAACTTATTAAAATTTGATTTAAGACTATTTTGACAAGCTGCAGTTCAGCAGTTATAAAGCTTTAACTTTTTGAATCATAGTATTGGTTGTTAAATAATTGTCTGACCCATCCCATAATTTCCCCCATTGTGAAAATTTTAAATAGATTAAAATAAAATGCTTAAAAATAAACATTGATATCTGTCAAAAGTAAAAGTAAAAATTAAAATTGAATTCTGCCAAGCTTACCTATATTGTATATCTGGTGGTACCTTCTAGATATATAGACTCCATACCGAAGACCCTTGGGGGTCTTTACTACAGTCTGGGTACGCAGATTCCTCCGAAGTTGGCATCTGTTCTGCCTGCAGACTTCTTCAGTGATGACTCTATGACTCTGGATAGCAGATCTCCAACTCTTCCTCCATCTGTGACATCAGTCCCAGCTCACAGCACAGCTTCCTTAAGCACTGAGACGGATCAGTTGGAGGAGCTGCGCACTAGATCTGCCAAAAAGAGAAGGTGATATTTCCTAAGGGAGAGGGTTTTATTTTGTTCACAGCCCTGTGATTGAGTAGCCCCCATCATGGTGAGCTCAGTTGCTGGATAACTAACCAGGGCTGATCTTGGTAAGTATCTAATGGATTAGTTCATGCTATTTAGGCCCTCAGTTAAATTACATTAAAAGCTGTGCCATGCTTCTGGGAATATGGTTGTTTTGTCCATGGAAATGGAACTGTGCTGTGATGGGCTTGTAAGAGAGAATTGTGGCTTGGGCCTTTGACCTAAATTAAACCCAGAAGACACATTAGTTAAAAATTTGTCAAACTACTTTCTTTAAAACTAGCATTAGTCATTAATCCAGATATAAACAACATAATCATGCTCCATGGCTGGGAACAATCATGGCCTACTGTGTAAATTGATTAGCCAGGTAAATGAGTTGGAATCCTGCCTTTGTGATCTGTTGCCCAATTTCTCTTCTGGGAGGGGTTCCATACCCCAGGTTGGTGTGTGTGTGTTTATTTTTTAAAAGAAATCAAATCACCACCAGATTTCTTAGTTAGACTACAATGGAGTTGAATGAAACCCACACAAACAAAGAATTTGCAGTCTAACTCCATGTGTGCTGAATGTTTTGCACACGCTGGGATATCCTGCAGTTTTAATAGTGTCACTGATCTGTACAGATACCAAGTCCATAAGTGCGTTCTGGGCGGAATCACACTGTGCAATATATTTCTTTGGGAACCTGAGGCGTTAAAGACGAGACTGGATTACTTGTTGCAGTGGCTGAGCCTAGGTGATACGGTTTTTTTTAATCAAAACACCCAAAGGCTCCTTGCCGTATAGATAAGGTCCCTGTCCCAAAGAGCTTGCAGTCCTAATACAGATGGAGTCCATAATATGACCTGCCTGCCTCACTAGAAACAAACTCAAGTTATGTTCCATATAAGAACCGATATCAGTAGAGCTGATACTTACATTTGTCTGTCTTTATTGTATCTTTGTTTCTTGTATCCTTTCTAAAGGAATAATGCATTAGCCAGACACAGGAGCATGACAGAAGCATCGCAGAATTTACGCCAGATTGAAATTCCCCAAATACCCAAGAATCCCATCAGAAAGGTAAAGCTTTCCTAGGGGATTGGGTGTGGGTATCTGCTGCAAGGGTGCAGCAGCATTGTGATACCACACATGAGTGCATGTGTTCTTTGCCTGCTAAGTGCCCTGTATCAGCTGCACAAGGCCAAAATCATTCTGAGGCAGAATTTTTTGAGAACTGAAACGCTTGTCTAAATGTTTCACACTTATGATTTTGAGTATAAACGAGCAGTGTAACACTTATTACATCTTCTTTTCAGGAAAACTCTCACTGTTACTTGGCCACTGAGAAAGCCCAACAGCTGCTTCCCCTGCAGAAGGAGGCAGTGCAAGGTATGACAACTAGCTTCTCCATAGAAAGCTGATTGGTTCCCCACACAGCTGATTTCATTGTACATTGTAGTGAGCCAGGAGTGTTCCACAAATAGAGAGATGGGAAATCTGCAGGAAATGTTCCCGCAGTCTGTGGAAACTTCTGGGAAAACTATTGGCGTTCATGAGTGAATTCACTCAACATGCTGATAGGCCGTTGAGTAAGTTACTGAATAATTTTATAAAAAGTGACTAATTTCAATAAGTTTAGTCTCAAAAAACATACAAAATGTCAGTCTCCCTTGATCTGCCAATTTCCTTAGATCTTCTGTCCTTCTGCGTCACTCCTGCACAGAGGATCAAAAAGATATTTGATAGAACAACCATTGGGCTTCAGTCACCACCCCATTGAGATGAAGGGGGCAGTTCATACTCCATTCTTCTCAAAGCTCTCATGTGTCATGTTCGGGAGGATATCTTTGCAACTAGAAACTTGTTAATGTCTGTTTCAAAATTCAAGTGTTCTATCAAATGTAAGGTAACAAACCCCACGACCACCTGTGCTGCAGCTCAGATTCTCTATGGTGGATATTTCCCATGGTCCTAATCATGATCCTTTTGGTGCTTTGAATTCAGTCTTCCTTCCTTAGGGTTCCCTTGACTGTAACCTACAGAAAGAGGCTAAGTAGCTGACAAGTGTAAATAAAAAGGAACCCTCATAAGAGAACTCCAGGGTGGGTTTGGGGAAGGGCATAGATACCCTGTTTCCCCGAAAATAAGACATCCTCCGAAAATAAGGCCTACTTACAGTTTTGCCTCTCGTTGTAATATAAGGCATCCCCCCGATAATAAGACCTCCCCGATAATAAGGCATCCACCGATGTGTACCGTATTCTTCTTCATTGAAAAATAAGACATCCCCTGAAAATAAGACCTAGCGCATCTTTGGGAGCAAAAATTAATATAAGACACTGTCTTATTTTCGGGGAAACAGGGTAGTGACTGTTTTC